TTTTATTTTTCAATAATTTTTAATTTTCGCAGATATTTTTATTAAAATCTTTGAATTCCTTATATATCGTGTAAGAATTCAAAGTGCACATTTACCGTTAGTCGTCGAACCAAGTTATCTCGAACAGGGATTCGTTGTTATCTTTGAGATATAGACATACTTGAACAAAGATTGTACCTAGCTTACAAAATTATGTTGTATAATTTTTTTTATAGATTTTTTCCTAATATGTATAGACTTCATAAATCTTTCTTGTAGTATTAATTTTCTTAATATATTAATAAATTCTTAGTAGAAAAATCTTTTAATAGGTTGTAACGATCTTTAGATAGACATGAAAAAGTTTGAAAAAAAAATACGTTCATCCATCTACCTCCCGCCAAGTGAAATAATCTAACAACCACGTGGTTGGACACGTGGTGTATTTACTGCTGTATATTTCTCCATTTTGAATAGTTTCTTATCTGTTGATACATGTGTTACGTTAACTGTGAAGTTTTCTTTTTATATAATTTGTTGTAAAAAAGCTTTTTCTTTTCTTAAAAATTATCGCAAAGTTATATCGCTTCACATACATATCTACTTGTATTATCCATGTGTTCTTTAAAAACGATATATATTTATCTAGATGAAAAATTATATATTGTGTATTGATTATATGTTATTTGGAAAGTGATAATCGATTTATTTTAAAGAATTAATGAAATTAATAAATTTTTTCAAAAATATTTATTATCATAACGTTGTTTGGAAAAATTACATTTTATGAATCATGGAAACATTTGAAGAGAAATAATATAACCTGCACATAAGCGACAAGTGTCCGTTTGTGCACTGAAGCTCAACATATTCATACCCACGTGTTTCGATGAGAACTTACACAGAACTTCCTGCGGGTTCCTGATTAAAGTAGCGTGACGATTTTATCATGGTACCCGCGAAGGGTTGAAGCATCGATTATAGTGGTAATATGGTGGTCGTATGCATGATATAGAGAGAGGGTTCCAGTAAATAGCTGCATATATATATATAGGAACGATCTTTTGTGATGTTAATAATTTGATAATTTATTAGTGTGACAAGTATCATTTGTTAACTTGTGATGAATAGATGAGTGATGTAATTTGGCTTTCTTTTATTCAAACTTCCCGCGCAGCTAGATATGTTAGTCGATAATATAGATTTCTACTATTACAATTCATTATACATTCATTGAAAGATTAAGTGAATATATATTTGTTCATAAGGAAGAACTTAAGTAAGAAACTTTTTAATAATTATCTTCTAATATTTAATTAGAAATAAAAAAAAAGGATTCGATTTTCGATATAACTTTAATCGAGTAAAAAAAATTTTTAAGGCGTGATGCAACTTGTTAATTTCTATTTATGATTGGTTAGAATACGTCGAAATAAAATCTCTTAGAAAAATATATGCTCACGTTATATTTTATATTTTTGAAATTATTGATAATTTTAAGATAAGATAATTTTAAATATTTCTTTCATTGAAATAGTAGAAGTTGCCAATTTCTATTTTATGGTTAAAAATTATATACGATCTGTGTGCGCATGCGCATTCGTGTAACGGTGATGACTGTGCAACGTGCTGCCTCTCCCTGTACTCCCCAACCGTTGTTCCTTTTATTACGTGTGTGGATTACGACTGCGTGGTCGTCAGGATATATCCATTACAAGAATGTCGGACTCTGACAGTAGTTTGCACTTTTGCCAACTCGTTGCAGTTTTGATTTTCATGCAGATAATAGTGTGACACATTCGTAGTTTCGTTAATTGCTCAAGGATCCTAAATCTTTCTGGAGAACAATGGCTACGTTATTTTTCAGGGACATTAGGATAATGTATTTTAAACGAGCCGTTTTTATTCTGTTCTTCGTCTAATCGACAAAGAGAGGCAAATGGTAGTAAACATTTGGAAAAAAAAAAAAATAGGTACAAAGAGTTCAGTTCTATGTGTTTATCATTTTAACCTGATGACATCATTTTTGCTACATGATTTAGTCAAATAGCGATGAATAATACCTTCACCCTTTCCATATACCATTGTTCCCCGTTATATGACACGTTATTTATAAGGGGGTCGATTACTCGACAATGCTCTGCAATAACAGATTCCGAGGGTAATGTTTGGATGGATTTATTTTCTCCTCATTCTTTTGTTTGAATCTCTTTTATCCTTGGAATGATTCACCGGGGATGGTGTGTCAACAACAGGCCTGTCCGTGTCTAAACTGGACGTTGGAGAGTAGGAATCGAATATACCTACACCTGTTTTCATAACACCATGCAACTATATCGCGAAATGGGTGTTCAGCTTCGCGCCCTAGTTACACCTGTGTCTAGTATCGTGGTGGTACGTAATACGTTTGCACGACACTGTACGTCAACCGAGGTTGCCACGTTTCTTGTGACTGCTTACTTGAAAAACTGAGGTCGCAACTGAATAACGAGTTACCAGCAAATTATTAGTCAATCCTTTAACAGTGGCACTGTTATCGATCTGATCAAACGATTTTCTTCTTTCTCACGATAGTTCAGTTTTTCCATCCTATAACTATGCTTGCGCGTTAAGCAAATGTTATCTACATTTAAATAATCTTATTAAAATAGAAAAAAAAAAAAGGTAAATTTCAATGAATTGTAAATCAGTGGTAATTGAAGTTATTAGTTATAATGATTTGCAACTGTAATTACTGTAATATTAATTACAATTTATTAATAGCATCGTTACGATACAATGATATTCGTGGCATTGATATGTTTAAAAATGATAATTGTTATCGCTAAAACTAGGGAAGGTCACTTCTTTTATACCGCGAAATATATCCGAAATGGAGTGAATTTTTTTATCGGAACCGGGGGAAAAAGAATTTAGTGAAAACAGAGGGGTGATCGCCGCAGCAATGCGCATCGAGGGGCGATCGTGTTTAACGAAGGGTCGGCAACGGTGCATAGATTTAATCGCTCTATGGGAACGGAACGTTGCGTAGGAAATCGCTGAAAAGCTACACAGCGCGCTACACACAGTCTAATATATATATATATATATATATATATATATATTTTCCAAA